ATATTTAATATAAATAATAAAATTTGTTGTTAATAATTTTCATGGAGTCTCGGATGTATATAATTATAACGAACTTTTTTTGCGATATGATTTTCATGAATACTTCACATCTTTTAGTTGTGATTGATATTTCGAAAAAAAAATCAAATAAAATAAATAATAATAAGAGTTTAAACTTAATAATTGTCATATTGGTCCCAAATTCTACTTGGTCATTACAATTTTTTTTTTTAAATACTTTATATGTGTAAGGTCAATTATCCATAAATGACAATTAAATTATACTCTTGCGTACTCATTTAACTCCAACATGATTTTGGCAAGAAAAATTCATTTTGATAGAGTATGGATTTTTCTTAACTTATGAAATCGAATTTCAGTACAAGTTTGAGTATTGTAATTTTTTTTCAAGCTATATATATATAAATTAAAGTTAAATATTTAATTTTTATAAATTTTAAAAATATAAACTAATTATTTAAATAATTAAATAATTTAAATTATAACAAAAATTAAGTAAAAAACTTAAAATTACACATTTAATTATTAAATTTTTTATTTAAAATTATTTCTTATTAATTTTTTATATATATATTATTCATATTAGAATATAATTATTAACTTGTAATTTAATTTATTTAAAATGTATAAGTAAATTAATTCTTTTTTTTTTAAAAGGTGATGGGTCCTATATGTTTTATCTGAACCCAACAAAGTCTAGTGGTAATGGGGATGGAAATAGATTTTAAAAATATACATTTTTCTCTTTAAAACTCGAACCCAAACCTGCCTCACATTTTATGGATGTAGAGACGAAAATAACAAAATTCATCCTCAATCTATCGTGTTATCATCCAGACAATTATCATTAATCCCACTAAAAATTCTTTACAAAAATTATTAAGTTCTCTCTACCTTTACATAAAGTTGTGCATTATCTTAACCTAAACTTTTTAAAAGAAAAAAGAGTCACTTATCATGACCTAAATTTACTATAGGGATAGTTTCCATAACTAGCTCTTCAACAATTCTCATAAGCTAACACTTCAATTTTATGTTATTGAATTGATGAGTGATTAATAATAGAGTGGGGTTCAAACTATTAAGTTTCAAAAACATTTATTCTAACTTTCTAAGTTCTATGCTTGCAATTTTTTTTTTTAAATAATAAAAATTCACCACCAAACTCGGGCCAAAATAATATGGGCCTCAATCTTCTTAAACATTGTTTAGGCCCAAACTATAGGTTGGTTCCATTCCACTTCCTCTCTAGTGTAGTTTACTTCTCTAGCTCCACACAAAGAGGCTCGAGTTTACTTTAGTTTTCGTTTTATCATTATTATTTTTTTGCTTCTAATTGCAATTTTTCCACATATAATATGATATATGATACTGAATTTTTTTTTTGTGGAGATGGGATAATATATTATTTAGCTTTATGATGATGTAGATTTTCTCCTTTGAAATGTGCCCAGATTATGGAGAAGCATAGTCATAGAGCCGATAGTGAACTAGAAAAACATGTTTTCTTCAACTAAAATGTAAATATTATCCATCTAGGGAAGATGAAGTTGAAGGGGACATTGTAATTTTTTCTGAAATAATCCACACAAAAAATCTAGGCACAAACAATTCCATGATATTTGTGATTGATGAAATGGTTGAATAAGTCATGCTCATGAATCATTGCTTCATATATTTGACCAAAAAATCTTGTTGGGTGTGTTAAGAACAATGTAGTTGAATAAGATAACAAGTTATTTTACATAATGCCTGAAAGATATGCAACAAATATGAACATGTTTTTTTTGTAATGATCTACTTGATTGCGAGGATTGTGATCTAATAGATGGTTTTCTATGTGCAATTATTTGTAAGATAGAATTCATCTTAGAATAAGCATTCTTTCTTTTTAAATCTTTATTATTAATTCACCTTAGTTCTTAAAATGTTATTATTTATATTGGTATTGTTGAGAAGCATGGTTGTTTAAATGCTTGATTGAATCACTTGTCTGTCCCGATCCAGATTCAAACAATTTAACAATTATAACTTTGGAAACACTGTATCCAGCATTGGGGGAGAGAGAAAATTAAGGGTTTAGATGGATTAGATTGGAATTCATTCCATCATGATCTATTTTATTTTATTATAACATAAATGATCCAAACAATGAAACACATTAAAATTTCATCCTATTCTAGTTGGTTCTATCACTTTCCATTAATTCAATCGAAGTATTAAGGTTTTCTATTTTCTATCCTATCTTTGATTTTCCAATTATTACATGTATCAATCTCTCCTCAGTGGCTTTGCCCGCATAACTCCAATCCTTTCTTTGCCTCATGAATGTTTTTCTATACTCTCTGTATCTGTCTTTCCTCTACCAATGAGTATGAGTAACTATATGACTGTCTCATTTGCTGATATTCAAAATCTTAAAATAGGTCCTTTTTTTTGTTCTATTTAGTGTTTAGTCTCAGATTTGGAACCTACCTTTTGGTGCCCGTGTACCATAATTTGGTCTGTATTATAATCATTTGAAAATGTATTTTTCTTTTCAATTAAAATGGTACTACCTTAGTCTTTATGATGCTTCCAAATGCATCTTTGAAATTTTCAATGAAGAGAGTGTCTAAAATGGCAGTGTTTAATGACTATATTACAACTTTCATGAAAATTTGGTCTCTAAGGAGAAGTTGTTTAACTTTTATTGTTCTTTGTTGGTATTGAAATTGATGCTAGAAAACTGATCATTGGATCTTCAACTTTCAGTATAGTGATGGAAATGTAAAGGAGTATTAAGGAAAGCATGGCAAGGATATCTAGTGATTCTTGATTTAACCAAGTCATTATTTAAGTGTATAATAGCGAGAATCCATCTGAGGCTTACTATTTAGGAGCTAATTTCGTCATTTCCCTTACATTGACTATATTATATCACTTTCCCTCTGTCTTTTTCATTTCTAGTGCTAGGAATGAAATAGGACCGTTGAAATGATTATGCAATCATAGAAATAGAACAACTGCTTGAAAAAAGAAATCCTCACAGAAATTGGACCAGCAGGATAGAAATTACTAGCAACCTTTGTCATATTTGTCTTAGATGTGTGCTTTCCAAATGGTAGATTTTTCTTTAGAGAATCTATTAAGTAGTTAATATGTTGTTAATTAAGTTTACTAGTTCTTTACTTCTTTTGACTTGTCATATTTATATGCTACTCCTACCCTTATTTTATACTTCACTACTTGTGGCTGGTCATGATATTTTCTATTGCTCAATATTTCCAATTTATATATGATATTAGAAACAGTCTAGTCCAATCTAGTTCTAGATAGAGGCAAAATACAGTGTGTTTGGTTTGTAGTATGGAAAGTTCCAAACCATGGTTTATGCGAAACCTTGTTTCTTGTAACCACCCAAACCATGGTTTGCAGTTTCCCAATTGATATATAAACATGCTAAAGATGGTTGTACTTCCTTGAGAACTTAAATATTTGTACTGACAATGTGATTTGCTTCTTAAATATCTTGCATTTAAAACCTTCATAATGTATATCTTTATGCAACACTTGAGTCAGATTGTGCTTGTTATATTATTTATATGATCTACTTCTATAACCTACGTGCTTGAATGATGCAAATTATGTGTAGCGAAAGACTAAGAACCATTTTCTAGTTTTCATTAAAATTATCATATGATCATGGGCAATGTAATACTATGATGCACATATATGATATAAGTATCCAATATAACAATACGATTATTTTAAAAATATATGAAGGATACATGTAAAATACATGTATAAACATATATCAATATTCATAAAATATAATAAATGTATTTTTAATTAAAATCCATAAAACATAATTGTAATTTTGTAAATCCAAATTAGAAACATATTTTTTGTTCATTACTAAAAACAAAAATAACTACAAATCATTATCATCATAAATTACCTCCTATTACTTACAAATAGGAATAATACTATCAATTCATTTCTTTCTTGGTTTGTATGATTCAAAGGAGGAGGGGAAGGGAGGAATATTAATGGAGAGGAAGAAAGTGAAAGAAAAAGAAGGGCTTAGAAATTATGATTTTTTAAGACAAGGGGAGGTGAGTATCTTATTAATGGAGAGGAGAGATAGGCCTTTTCTTGTTTGGTTCACAAAGAGAAGGGAGAGATTTTAAAAATTAATTTACTTTTGTACCCTTACAATTTTAAATTCAAAAACATGAATAAGAATATTTTAAATATTAGTATCAAATATAGATATGTGAAGTAAATTTAAGTATTGATGGCTCATACATATGATCCATATATCGAAATCTCCATGCCGTCATTATCATTCTACTCAATTTATAATTGATTTATATATTATCTGTATCTGTTCTTGATATTACGATTTGTGATAACCTCATATGTATGTAATATACTACATTTATCGACTTTCCTAGGGAGGTGTACTTCTGGTGTGACATTACATATTCTTGATAGAAGAAAGACTAATGGCACATTCAACGAGCTTGATCTCTATAGGCTTCGATTTTGGTCCACTTCATAAAACCAAAGTCAGTGTTTCTAGAAGGTTTGCTTCCAGATCTTTAGTAGGGATTCGCATTCGAGCGGTGCAAGAGAACGTTAGACCACGTAGACTTGTGGACATTATTAAACTTGTCCCTGAGCTCTCAAAGAATTACTTTAGATGTCCTTCTCGCAGAGCTTTGTTTGGAAGAATCTCTTTGTTGGGTAGATTTTATGTTGCACAAACAATCTCTTTGTCATTTGAAACTCTCGGAGTTAATGATGTTATTTATGCAATTTTATGTGTTCTTCTCACAGAATATGTCACCAAGTTCTATTATAACCAGCCAAAAGTTACAAGTACAGACTTGCCGAACCTAACAGTAACAAGTACATAAGTACAGACTTGTCGAACCTAATAGTAACAAGTACAGAAGAATAGTATAAAGACCAAAATAACACAAATTACTAAATAAAATAAAAAAATATAAGGAAAATTTATTTGATGTTTTGTTACGAGAACTATGATTGATATGCGATGATATAAGGATAATTCTTCTAACATTTACAATCATGAATATTATGCACAAACAAACCAACTAAGTGTTTGTAAGTTGATCAGTCTTCACATGTGCAAGTTTGGTGGTTAAATAGAATCAAACTAATTTAGGAGAGTAACCAACCAAGTACGAATGTTTAGAGTAGTTGTATTGATGTTAAAAATTAACTGGCAAGTTTAAAGGCATCAATGAAAAGTCCATAAGTAAAACCCATTTTAAAGTTGTTGAGGAGTGCAACTGGAAAAGTAACTTTTGGCCGGCTGTAATAGAACTTGGTGACATATTCTGTGAGAAGAACACATAAAACTGCAGCAATAACATCATTAACTCCGAGAGCTCCAAATGACAAAGAGATTGTTTGTGCAACATAAAATCCACCCAACAAAGAGATTCCTCCAAAAAGAGCTCTGCGAGAAGGACTTCTAAAGTAATTTTTTGAGAGCTCAGGGACAAGTCTAATAATGTCCACAAGTCTACGTGGTCCACCGTTCTCTTGCACCGCTCGAATGTGAATCCCTACTGAAGATCTGGAAGCAAACCTTCTAGAAACACTGACTTTGGTTTTATGAAGTGGACCAAAACCGAAGCCTATAGAGATCAAGCTCGTTGAAAGTGCCATTAGTCTTTCTTCTATCAAAAATATGTAATGTCACACCAGAAGTACACCTCCCTAGGAAAGCCGATAAATGTAATATATTACATATTACATACATATGAGGTTATCACAAATCATAATATCGAGAACACAACAGATACAGAAAATATATAAATCAGTTATAAATTGAGTAGAATGATAATGACAACATGGAGATTTCGATATATGAATCATATGTATGAGCCATCAATACTTAAATTTACTTCACATATTTGTATTTGATATTAATATTCTTGAATACTACACATATTCATATCAATAATATATCCAAGTCTTTAAAACAATTATGAAAATCTTTTTGATATTAATTCTCATGGATATTTCACTTATACATGTTGGTGAAGTATCCAAGCCTTTAAAATATTATGAAAAACTAATACAGATATATGAGACATATAAACATGTGTAATATAAAAGCATAAAAACATTGCCCCTTGATGAACCAAAAATTGAAAATTGTTACCTTTATGATGATTTTAATAGTGTTTGGTTAGAGGAAAGAGGGGGGAAGGAAAATTTTAAACTTTTGTTGTTTGGTTCGATTTTTAGAAGATGGAGAGAGAGAATGGAGGAGACAAAAACCCTCTTCACCTAATTTTAACTCCCCTCCAATATTAGAAAAGGATTTAGAGGGGAGGAATATTGGAAGGATTTGGAGGGGAAGGGAAGAATTTTAAAACATTTTGAGTGTAATATTTAAAATATTCTTATTCATGTTTTTGAATTTAAAATTATAAGGGTACAAAAGTAAATTAATTTTTAAAATCTCTGCCTTCTCTTTGTGAACCAAACAAGAAAAGACCTAATCCCTTTTTTTTCTTTCACTTTCTTCCTCTCCATTAATATTCCCCCCTTCCCCTCCTCCTTTGAATCATACAAACCAAGAAAGAAACGAGTTGATAGTATTATTCTTATTTGTAAGTAATAGGAGGTAATTTATGATGACAATGATTTGTAATTATTTTTGTTTTTAGTAATGAACAAGAAATATGTTTCTAATTTAGATTTACAAAATTACAATTATGTTTTATGAATTTTAATTAAAAATATATTTATTATATTTTATGAATATTGATATATGTTTATACATGTATTTTACATGTATCCTTCCTAAATTTTTAAAATAATCGTATTATTATATTGGATACTTATATCATCTATGTGCATTATAGTATTACATTGTCCATTATCATATGATAATTTCATTGAAAACTAGAAAATGGTTCTTAGTCTTTCACTACACATAATTTGCATCATACAAGCACGTAGGTTATAGAAGTAGATCATATAAATAATATAACAAGCACAATCTGACTCAAATGTTGCATAAAGATAGACATTAAGAAGGTTTTAAATGCAAGATACTTAAGAAGCAAATCACATTGTCAGTACAAACATTTAAGATCTCAAGGAAGTACAACCATCTTTAGCATGTTTATATATCAATTGGGAAACTGCAAACCATGGTTTGGGCAAAGGTTACAAGGGACAAGGTTTCGCCTAAACCATGGTTTGGGACTTTCCATACTACAAATCAAGCACACTGTATTTTGCCTCGATCTAGAACCAGATTGGACTAGACTATTTCTAATATCATATATAAATTAGAAACATTGAGCAATAGAAAATGTTATGAACAACCACAAGTAGTGAAGTATAAAATAAGTGTAGGAGTAGCATATAATATGCATAAATATGACAAGTCAAAAGAAGTAAAGAACTAGTAAACTTAATTAACAACATATTAACTACTCAATAGATTCTCTAAAGAAAAAACTATCATTTGGAAAGCACACATCTAAGACAAATATGACAAAGGTTGCTAATAATTTCTATCTTGCTGGTCCAATTTCTGTGAGGATTTCTTTTTTCAAGCAGTTGTTCTATTACTATGATTGCATAATCATTTCAACGGTCCTATTTCATTCCTAGCACTAGAAATGCAAAAGACAGAGGAAAAGTGATATAATATAGTCAATCTAAGGGAAATGACGGAATTAGCTCCTAAATAGTAAGCCTCAAATGGTTCTCGCTATTATACACTTAAATAATGACTTGGTTAAATCAAGAATCATTAGATATCCTTGCCATGCTTTCCTTAATACTCCTTTACATTTCCATCACTATACTGAAAGTTCAAGATCCAATGGTCAGTTTTCTAGCATCAATTTCGATACCAACAAAGAACAATAAAAATTAAACAACTTCCCCTTAGAGACAAAATTTTCATGAAAGTTGTAATATAGTCATTAAACACTGCCATTTTAGACACTCCCTTCATTGAAAATGTCAAAGATGCGTTTGGAAGCATCATAAAGACTAAGGTAGTACCATTTTAATTGAAAAGAAAAATAAATTTCCAAATGATTATAAGGCAGACCAAATTATGGTACACGGGCACCAAAAGATAGGTTCCAAATCTAAGACTAAACACTAAATAGAACAAAAAAGAGGACCTGTTTTAAGATTTTGAGTGTCAGCAAATGAGACAGTCATATAGTTACTCAATCATTGGTAGATGAGGCTCTTGTAGAGAAAAGACAGATACAGAGAGCAGAGAAAAACATTCATGAGACAAAGAAAGGATTGAAGTTATGCGGGCAAAGCCACTGAGGAGAGATTGAGACATGTAATAACTGGAAAATCAAAGAGAGGATAGAAAATAGAAAACCTTAATACTTCAATTGAATTAATGTAAAGTGATAGAACCAACTAGAATAGGATGAAATTTTAATGCGTTTCATTGTTTGAATCATTTATGTTACAATAAAATAAAATAGATCATGATGGAATGAATTCCAATCTAATCCATCTAAACCCTTAATTTTCTCCTCCAATGCTGGGTACAGTGTTTCCAAAGTTGTAATTGTTAAATTGTTTGAATCTGGATCGGGAATTCAATCAAGCATTTAAACAACCATACTTCCCAACAATACCAACATAAATAATAACATTTTAAAAACTAAGGTGAATCAATAATAAAGATTTAAAAAGAAAAAATGCTTATTCTAAGATGAATTCTATCTTACAAATAATTACACATAAAAAACCACCTATTAGATCACAATCCTCGCAATCAAGTAGATCATTACAAAAAAAAACATGTTCATATTTGTTGCATATCCTTTCGGCATTATGTAAAACAACTTGTTATAACTTATTCAACCACATTGTTCTTAAGACACCCAACAAGATTTTTTGGTCAATATATTAAGCAATGATTCATGAGCATGACTTATTCAACCATTTCATCAATTACAAATATCATGGAATTGTTTGTGCCTAGATTTTTTTTTGTAGATTATTTCAGAAAAAATTACAATGTCCTCTTCAACTTCATCTTCCCTAGACAGATAATATTTACATTTTAGTTGAAGAAAACATGTTTTTCTAGTTCACTATCTGCACTATGACTATGCTTCTCCATAAACTGGGCACATTTCAAAGGAGAAAATCTATATCATCATAAAGCTAAATAATATATTATCCCATCTCCACAAAAAAAAATCAGCATCATATATCATATTATATGTGGAAAAACTGCAATTAGAAGCAAAAAAATAATAATAATAAAACGAAAAATAAAGTAATATAAATATTAAGAAATTTTCAATCACATGTGTTCTCACCTAATTGCCCAGAAACTCGAGCCTCTTTGTGTGGAGCTAGAGATGTAAACTACACTACAAAGAGGGAGTGGAATGGAACCAACCTATAATTTGGGCCTAAACAATGTTTAAGAAAATTGAGACCCATATTATTTTGGCCTGAGTTTGGTGGTGAATTTTTATTATTTAAAAAAAATTGCAAACATATAACTTAGAAAGCTAGAATAGATGTTTTTTAAACTTAATAGTTTGAACCTCACTCTATTATTAATCATTCATCAATCCAAATATAACATAAAATTGAAGAGTTAGCTTATGAGAATTGTTGAAGAGCTAATATAGAAACTATCCCTATAGTAAATTTAGGTCATGATAAGTGACTTTTTTTCTTTTAAAAAGTTTAGGTTAAGATAAGACACAACTTTATGTAAAGGTAGAGAGAACTTAATAATTTTTTAAAGAATTTTTAGTAAAACTAATGATAATTGTCTGGATGATAACACAATAGATTGAGGATGAATTTTGCTATCTTCGTCTCTACATCCATAAAATGTGAGGCAAGTTTGGGTTCAAGTTTTAAAGAGAAGAATGTATATTTTTAAAATGTATTTCCATCCCCATTACCACTAGACATTGTTAGGTTCAGATAGAACATATAGGACCCATCACCTTTAAAAAAAAAAGAATTAATTTACTTATACATTTTAAATAAATTAAATTACAAGTTAATAATTATATTATAATATGAATAATATATATAATAAAAAATTTAATAATTAAATGTGTAATTCTAAGTTTTTACTTAATTTTTGTTATAATTTAAATTATTAATTATTAAAATAATTAATTTATATTTTAAAATTTATAAAAATTAAATATTTAACTTTAATTTATATATATATAACTTGAAAAAAAAATACAATACTCAAACTTGCACTGAAATTCGATTTCATATGTTGAGAAAAATGCGTGCCTTATCAACATGATTTTTTTTTGCCAAAATCATGTTGGAATTGAATGAGTACGCACGAGTATGATTTAATTGTCATTTATGAATAATTGACCTTACACATATAAAATATTTTAAAAGAAAAATTATAATGACCAAGTAAAATTTGGAACCAATATGATAATTATTAGGTTTAAACTCTTATTATTATTATTATTATTATTATTTATTTTATTTGAAATTTGTTTTGCAAAATATCAATTACAACTAAAAACAATATAATAGATGTGAAGTATTCATAAAAATCATATATCGCAGAAAAAATTCGTGATAATTATATACATCCGACACTCAACATGAAAATTATTAACAACATATTTTATTATTATACTAAATATTTTATTTAATTATTGATTAATAATACTTTTTATCAGAGCTAAATCTCATATAGAAAAAATCACAATAATAAAGTGTTTTAACTAATGTGAGATAATATTTAAGTAAACACTAACTCTCAAGATAAAATTCACTATATCTTTATAAGTTTTATTAATAAGCACATGGTTCCAACATAAAAATTATTAAATCTTGTCGCAACCTAAAAAAATTTTATCTTGTGACCTATAATTTAGAAATCTTTTTGAAAATTTCATCAATTAAAAAATATTCAGAAATTAGAATAATTTTTAATTAATGATTTTAAAAAAGGAATTTATAGAGTCGTCACTAATATTTTACTCAAAATATTAAAAAAAGAAAAAGTTTTTAAAAGTCAAATAATAGTCTTGATAACCAAAATTGAGTTCAAAAGTCAGTTACATGTAAAGAAGGTATTAAGTATTTTTACAACACCCTTAATTTATATCCTATAATGAAGTTAACGTTAAAAATAATAATATAAATATTAAATCTTCTTTTATTGAAAACTATTTAAATGCTTAAAATTTAAATTACACAATTAATCCTAAAATATCTACAATAATATTTTTGTTATAAACATGTTTATTAAATATGAAATAAAAAATAGGAAAGAACATAAAAATAAGAAATAAAAAATAGAGAAAAAGATTGATTGAAATACCTCGTAATAAACTTTGTTTGATCTTCTCACCAAATATGAAGAATACAATAAGACGAAAAAAGAGAGAAATTCAGACGAAATTTTTTTCCAGCACTTAGAACGTTGCATGAGGCCGCAATTTATAGACTTCAGATGTGGCCAGAACGGCCCGTTCCAGCATCGGAACGGCCCGTTCTGGATTCTTCCGTTATTTGTTAAATTTGTAGTCGGAACGGGCCATGCTTAACCTAGAACGGGCCGTTCCACTGTTGATTTTAAGACATAACTGTCTAGTCTGGAACGGCCGTTCCCATTGGAACGGGCCGTTCTGATTTTGGAACGTCCCGTTCCAAGTTTGGAATGGCCCGTTTCATTTCGGGAACGGGCCGTTCCGGTTTAGAACGGGCCGTTCCGTTTTAGAACGGGCCGTTCCGGTTTTGGAACGGCCCGTTCTGGTCTATTGAAGACAGCTTGTTCAAGCTTCAAGTTTCCTGGTTGGGCTTTTTGACCCAGATAAATAAAAAATACACAAAATAAATTTTAAAAAAAATTAATTATCAAAGTAAGTGATTTTGGACATGTAGGAGCTGATGTGACATAGAAAACGCAGGGATAGGGCGTTTTAAATCATACCATACCAGTTAGTTTTAGAATTTATAAAATATTATCTCATACATACAAATATGGACATAAATTCAATAAAAAAAAATACAATTAAAATGTTGAATTAACGTATTTATTTTTTGTTTGTATGTAAAAAAGAATATCAAGCGTAAAAAAAATTATTTAAATAATTTCTTTTTCTAATTATTTTATTAAACTATTATAAATTTAAAAAATTAAAAAAATATTATAAAGTAATGAAACACGTTTTCTAAATATACTTAAAAACAAGATTTGTTAAAATATTTCTAAACACAATTCCTGCAAATATAATATATATGATACAATGAAACATATATCATTGTATATTAAAGCTATATATATAGGGGAATGCTAATATACTCTCACCTATTTTTTAGTGGGAATATGTTAACAATTTACACCAATTTTTTAGGACAAAAAAACCACTCATTTATTTTGATTTGGTTCATTCGTACAAAGGATATTATAGTAATTTAATTTAATTTTAAATAAAAATAAAATATTTTTTCTCTCTTATTAATTTCATTCTCTAAATCACTTATTAAATTCTTTCTCTAACTTATTTATCTCTCTCCTATTAAATTCTTTCTTTAACTCATTTCTCTCTCATATCTCATGATGTCTCCCTTCTCTCTCTCTGAACAAATAAAAATTAATTAATAGAAAAAATAAATGAATTGAAGAATGAAAATAATAAGAGAGAGAAAATATTTTATTTTCATTTAAAATTAAATTAAATTACTATAATATCCTTTGTACGAATGAACCAAATCAAAATAAATGAGTGATTTTTTTGTCCTAAAAAATTGGTGTAGGTTGCTAACATACTCCCACTAAAAAATAGGTGGGAGTACATTAGCATTCCCCTATA